CGCCCCCCCCCACCTTCCCCACCGCCCCTCGCAGTTTGTTTACAAGTATCAAAGTTGTAATTGAGGAGCTGCCAAGGCACATCTGGATATTTTTCTTCTTCTTCTTCTTCTTTGTGTTAGGGACTGATGTGCAACTAATTAAAGGCAGACAGGCTGGTAGCGTCTGCACACTCAAGCCCCCCCAAATAAAGAGCCTGGTAAGTGACTGGTTTGCTTTCCCCCCTCATCTTCCCCCCCTTATTCTTCGCGGGTTTTTTTTTCTTTTGTTTTTTGGGTTTTTTGTGTGTGTGTGGTTTCGGGTTTTAGTTGTGGGGTTTTTTTAGAGGGATGGGTTGTTTGGTTTTTTTGGTTTTTTTTAAATTTTGTGGGTTTGTCGGGTGCTCTTTTTTCTGTTGTTCTTGTTATCTAGGATCGTAAAAGTAGATTAATGCTAGACTTGGGCAATAAAAGGCGTCGCTATATTAATTTATTAATTAATCTGCACCCGCCCCTCCTCCTGAATCTTAAATATGACCTTTGATCTCTCTGTCTTTGGCAGAGCAGACATGCAATATTGAACATGTACGGTCACATTTAGCTTAAGCAGGGACAGAATCGCAAAGCCCGGCTAGCAATTTCTATTTATTTATTTCATTCGTGGAAAAGAGGGCGATAGTTAGAGGGGGAGGGAAATCAATAACTGCGTCTCGGGTACCCTTTTCATGCTCCGGAGATGCATCGATTAAACAATAATGACCCGGTTGGTGGGCACCATCATTTTCTCGCTGCTGGTGGCAATAAAGCCTGAGAGGGGATCGCGGGGAGAGAAAAGGTAGCCAGCGAGGGAAGGTTTTGTGGAGAGAAGCCAGTTTAATGCTGGGGGAAATAGGGCAAGAAAATGCATATGACTTCTGGCATAAAGGGCTGAACGCTAACATTTTATTCCTTACCAGATGCGTGGCTTTCATACACATGGCTGGCAAAACTAGTTTTATTGAGTAGTTGTTATCGAGGACATGCAGCTAGGTTTTCCTTTCTGGAAACGGGAGAGGGGTTTTTTTTGCTGTAAGCAAATCCTTCGCATCCCTCCACAAGACGACGCTTAGCCTAGAGCTTTCCGGGGCAGCCTTTGTATTGCCACTAGACCTCTGAAGGCAGCGAGAGTCTGGGTTTTTCCCTGACGTGGAAACACAGAGGTGGCTCCTGCGAGCTCGGGGTCTTTTTTTTTTTTTTTTTTTTTTCCGACGGAAGGACGCCCGCCAGTCCCCAGTGCAGCCGGGGGTGAGGTTCCTTCTGTAGATTTACGCTCCCTTCATCTGGATTTGTTTACATAAAGCCCGCTTTCAGTGCACGACGTTGGGAGAAGACGAAGTTTTTGCACTCGGTAGGTTGGGCTGCAAACGGTTCATTAATCTAATTATGATCGTAATTACCGTAATTGATAACCATTTTGAACTAAACATACCAGACTCTGGAAACTAGACGTAGCCCCACGAGTGAGCGTTTCTGATAGCCCTGCATCAGAAAAGATGCTGGAAATATCTGAACTATTCAGGTAGAGCATCTGGAAAACAAAGAGGCAGTGTTCATAAACTGAGGGCTTTTTAAGTTATGCTTATGTTTTGCTTTAGTTCGCGCAGGCTGCCATAATATACCTTCCTCATTGCCGTGAACTAAAATACCCCCCTTCACCTCCCCGGGGGAGAAAGGGGGCGGTAGGAAATAAGACGGACGCCGTGTCCTTAGCCCCCTCCTAAACTTTCCTAGCCTGGAGCAGAAAGCCATCTTTCCCCGGTGAGGGTTGGTTCAGCAGGTACAGTGCCCTCCCGAGCGTTCCCGGCTGTCTCTCGGCGAAGCCCCCTGCCCCGCGGCGCCCGCAGAGGGGCTGTCCCCGTCTCGGTGTGTGTGTCCCCAGCCCTCCCTGCGCAGCCCCCGGCGGCGGTGACGGGGAATCCTCCCCGAGAGGCTGGGATAAATACTCCGTCGTTAGTACAGCTGCAGGCGCCGGGATCACAAGCTGTGAAATTGCTTAAGTATTATTTTTTTTTAAACCTAGCCCCGTGCCCCCCGCGTCCCGCAGGCAGCCCCCCCGTACCCGGAGGCGGCGGGGGGGCCGGGGAAGCCGGTGCCGCCGCAACCAGCGCCCGGCGGAGCCAGCTGTGCCGGCAGGCAGCTAATGACCGCCGGGCTCGGAAGGACACCGTGGCAGCTGGCGGCTCCCTCCCCCACCTCCCTCTTTTTTTTTCTTTTTTTCTAATTCCTTTTATTTGTCGTCCCCCCCGCTTTTTCTCCCTGCCTTTTCATTTTTCCCGGTGCTGGTAGGTGGGCAGCTCCCGGCCCCCGTGTCGTGTCCCCCGCCCCCCACCTTGTCCCGGGACCGGGTTTGCTCCGCCCGGGCCGGCGCTGCGAGCCCTGTGCCCGCGGGCACGGCGACATTGCCCCCCACCCGTGTGTGCTCCCCCTCCCCGGGGTGGCCGTGGGCGGCCGTCAGCGCCCCCCCGCACCCCCTCGGAAATGACTTTTTGTGTTTCAGCTGCGGCAGCTCCCGTGAGGATGCCGGAGGAGCGGCTGCCCGGCCAAGCACCGACCGCGGGGATGCGTCCGGAGGAGGATTAATCGACGCCCCCCCCCCCGCCCCGGCCACCATGAACACCAACGTGTGCGTGGAGAGCGGCCCCAACCCCGAGGCGCCGGGGCTGCCCAAGGACAGCCACCTGCCCGAGGGGGCCCTCAACAGCCTTGTGGATTACAACTCGGAGATGGAGAGGTACCGCTCCTTCGCCACCTTCTACAAGACCAACGGCGGCGCCTTCCCCCAGGCGGCCAAGATCGCCCGCATCACCACCCCCATCTTCCCCAGCGCGGCCGCCGCCGCCGCCGCCCGCATCGGCATGTCCCCCTGGAACTGCGACACCGCCACGGCCGCCGCCGCCACCGCCATGCTCTGGGGCAGCGGCGGCGGCGGCGGCGCGGCGGGCGGCGCGAGGAAACCCTCCTCCTCCTCCTCCTCCGCCGCCGCCGCCGCCGCCTCCGCGGCCGCCGCCGCCGCCTCCTCGCTGCACGCCGGCAGGGGCGGCATGCACCACCGGAGCGACTCGCAGCGGCTGGGCAAGCCCGGCTGCCCGCCGGCCGAGCAGCCCGCCCTGCCCATGGCCAACGGCAACTTCCTCTCCACCCTCGCCCCCGAGCACTGCCGGCCGCTGGCCGGCGAGTGCATGAACAAGCTCAAGTGCGGCGCCGCCGAAGCCGAGATCATGAACCTCCCCGACCGCGTCGGCACCTTCTCGGCCATCCCGGCGCTGGGCGGCCTCTCCCTGCCCCCCGGGGTCATCGTCATGACGGCCCTGCACTCCCCCGCCGCGGCCTCGGCCGCCGTCACAGACAGCGCCTTCCAGATCGCCAACCTGGCGGACTGCCCGCAGAGCCACGCCTCGGCCTCGCCCGCCTCCGCCCTGGGCGCCGCCGCCGGCGCGGGGGGCGGCGGAGGCGGAGGGGGGGCCGGCGGCACCGGCGGCGGGGCCGGGGCCGGGGCGGGCAACCCCGCCAAGAAGAAGCGGAAACGCTGCGGGGTGTGCGTGCCCTGCAAGCGGCTCATCAACTGTGGAGTCTGCAGCAGTTGCAGGAACCGCAAAACGGGACACCAGATCTGCAAATTTAGGAAATGTGAAGAGCTTAAGAAAAAACCGGGCACTTCGTTAGAGGTCAGAGGAGATGATTTCTTTTTCCCCAGCCTCCCGCCGTCCCTCCTCAACCCCCTGCCCCCGCCCCTCCAGTGCTTCTTGTCTAGCTTCAAGATGCAGCATCCCTTCTCCGAGGCCTCCTTCAGGCTCTGAGGGAGCCCCCGCCGCGGGCGCGGCTCCCCGCGGCGCGGCCCCGCCGCCCGCCCCTCTCCGCCCCGCAGGGAAGAGAAACGCCGCCTCCCGCGGCGCCCCGCCGAGCCGGCCGCTGGCCCCCGGCCCCGGGCCGAGGAGGGACGGCCGGGGGGCGCCGGCCCCCGCCCCGCCAGCTCGTGGCCGTGACGGAACGATGCTAACCTGGTTTACCTGCCGTGCTGTTTCCATAAGACTGCTGGCTCTCTGGTTCCTTTTTATTTTTCTTATTTCTTTTTAAATTTCTCTCTCTCCCCTTTTATTTTTTTCTTTATTTTTTTTTTAATTAATGGCAATCATGACGATTCGGGGCGGTTTGTAGAGCGGGGAGGTGGGAAAGGGAAAGTTTTAGCTGAACACCAGGTTCTCGCTGTCAGAAGTTCAGGGAAAGCAATGGCAAGTTCTTCTCCAGGTTGGCTGGTAGCAATGTGTCCCAGACAGACAACGGGCCGCGGAGCCCAGTAGTAGGTGAAACGCACCCAAGTGATCTCTTTGGCAATGCCCTTTATGAAATAACCTGCTCGTGGTGTATTAAACACAATGGAAGAATAGCACAGGTATGACTGAACTGATTTCTGACTGAACTGTATGTACGGTTATTTTTACAACGTTTCCTCGGAACTGACAATGTATTGTGTTCCCCAAAGCTGTAACAACAGGTTTTCAGATTTGCTAGACATACGAGAGACAGGCAGATCCCATGTCGCAGACATTTCAGTTATTGTATTGGGTACGACAGACAATGGGAACCAAAATACACAACCGTGAGGAAAATGGCAATTGGATGGTATCGTTAGGGGAAGGAAACAAGTGAAAGACTAGTAATCATACTTAATTCCTTGTCATTATAAAAATTGTAGTGTTGCTGCTTCGACACACATCTCAGATGCGTCTGAAGGTGTCAAGGATGATGGATTTAGTACAGAGGAGTAGTGTGCGGCGGGTGACACCAAGATTTGTAGTCACAGAAATCAGCAACTAAGTGAGAAATTGCAACTTCCCTCTCTCTCTGTGTGTGTGTGTGCCTGTGTGTGTTTGCATAGCGGTTTATTCCCTTGCTCATTGCTCGCAGGAGCTCTCTCCAAGAAGAGATGGGATGAGGGATTCCAGGGAAAAAGCAACACTTAGAGCCAATTAATTTGTTCTGTGTTAAATAAATTGAGATAATAGTGTTGGTATTGACACTGTCATGGGACAAAAGCAACATTTGGGGGTTCACTGACATTTGGCTGATAGCATTAACTCTTTCCTAACCAGCCTCATCAAAACAACTAATTAACTCCTTCTTGCAAGAGTGAACTGTCCTTGCTGAAAGTTTAATTTGTAGCTCTGCATCCTTTTAGCTCTTTTTTTTGTGAATGGTGACCCAGCATCAGTAACACAAAAGCCAGGATGGACTTCCCAGGGGATAGAAATTAGACTGGGTTTTCAGCTCTTGCTTTTCTCAATAATATGCCTTTGCTGGTTTTGCAGCAAGTTTGCAAAAAGTATAGTTAACCCCCTGGTCTGTTAATGCTGAGTATAGCCTAAAAGAGACTCCCTGAACCAGAGGCATAGAGAGTTCCCCCCATACTACCCAGCACTGAGAGTGCCTTTGTGTGCCAAGTTCCCTCATTAGGCTTGCAAACCAGGGTGCTGCTGGGATTTAATGTTTGTGATAAATGATAGGTTCTGATGGTTTATCGATCTGTGCAGAAAGTGAGCTATCTCTGGAAGAAACGAATTTGTACATTATCAGATCTTCCTATGGGTTTGTGTGCATCTCTGAGCACATTTCCAGAAGTTCCTTGCACCTGACAAAGGTGTTTGGTAGTGTTAAAAACTTTTCAGGCGTGCTATGAGAATGCCTCCCGTTAAAATTGTTTAACCACTGTGACTAGTAAAACCCATGGTTTAATTAGCCACTTGTGCTCTCATAACCACCTGCCTTCGCTTCTTTTCTTCATTCTCTCTTTCCCCCACTTGCTCTCCTATTTGTACTCTGTCAGATACATAAACACAAAAGCTCCTCTGCTGCTGTACAGTGACTCGAAGGAAACAGGTTTAAGGCATCACTTCTCTGCAGGTCATGGCCCATCACAAAGTTTTGTCACAGGATGTGGCTAATTTCTTTACAGAGGTGTGGTCTGTCAGTAGGAGAGGAAGAATAACTTATTTACATGCTGTTTTCCTTATGTCTTCTTTCTTCTTTATAAAGAATTAAAATTAATAAAGTGACAGAAGGGCTGCCTACAGCACAGGTGCAGCAGCAGTGCTCTGGCTTTACAGCCACCAGCTGGAAGGGTGTCAGAGGGTGACAGGGCCTCCAGGAGGGCCCTGTGGCAGCGGTGTTGGTGTTGGGGGTAAGCAAGGGCAGCCTCCCTGCAGAGTGAGTGCCTGGAGCAACTCCTGGTCTGTGCTCCCGGGGAATCCACTGCTCTGCGTGGATGATCCCTTGGCACCTCAGCTGGCACACACCCATGGATATGTGTCAAGGATTGAGGGGCTCACATTCCCATACACACTTAGATGATTCATGAATTGTGCTCAACAGTGGCTGCAAAGTGCAGGGGTGATTTACAGCAGGGGTGAAACCATGTTTAAAAACAAATGAAAAATTTAAAAAATACCAATAAACCATAAACTGGCTGACCCCACAGAAACCATTTCTCTCTTTTTCCTTTAATTCTCCTCTACTGGTGCAATGAAGGCACAGCATATAATTCTCAAAGATAGTATATGGAGTTGAAGACAGATTCACGTGAATGCTTTCCAGTTCCTGACCCTTGCATTTTTCATGGAATGCTTCTCGCCCCGCATTTTTTTAAAAACACTTGAATTTTTTTTCCCTACTTTTCTTGTACTGTTTTCACATTAAAAGTGTCCCAATGCTCTAGTATTTTTCATAGAATGTTATTATTACTAGGAAATTTTATGTACGGCAATAATAAATCTATAAAAATCAGATTGACGTCACGTTGCACGCTGCCTACTTGTGTATGTATATTCTGTGTTCATTCAGATTTACAATTGGTTTAAAGAGACATAATCTTTATTTACCCATAGAGACTACTTATATCCCTCTGATTGGTGCACATGTCTGTAACTTCTGCTGCAGGTTGTGAAGATTAGGTGCCTGGTGGTAGTTCACATCCTTTTCTCTCTTTTAGGCGAACCCCATTCAGTGTGTGAATCTCAGTTGCCCCAGTGCTCATTTTCATTAGCGTGACAGCAAGTTCAGGCAGAGAGGCTGACTTGCGTTGGCAGGGGCTGAAGGGTCCTGCCAAATGTGAAATATCAGCTGTTTAGGCATGCTGTCATCGTAGTGGGCACCACTTGCTCTCTTTGTAACAGCCCAGCTAATTGATATGTGCGCTATTAAAGTGAGCGTTTGCATACCAACCTGATTGAGTCAATACCAGCCTCCAATCCGAGGCACTTGGCTGAGCTGCGCTTCAAGCCAGTGGGATTTTGAGATGGCCTTCTCCAGGGATGGGTTGTGATGATTGATTTCAGCAGCAGCGGCGTCTGATCCTGAAAGTCTTAACACCATATGGCATTGCCACGGGGGAGAGAGGCTGCGCTGGCAACCTCCGAACTCGCACTTCGTGTTGCGGTAGCGCGTGCGAGCGCTGTTAAGGGAAGACTGCTGAGCTCTGTGGATAGGGGTCAATTAGTAGGGGCCTCAGAGGAAGCAATTTCCCCGCTGTCTATCTGGCTTTAAATTACATGCACAAGTTAAGTGACGGCATGATGGAATTGAGCAGTGGTGAGGGGGAGCTGTAAAGTCTGATAAGAAGCAGGCGGCTAACACGATCCAGCGGGCTAACTGGAAGGTGGAAAGAAAGACCACCTTGTAGCACGTTCATCACTAAACATCAGCAGTGCTGCTGTATGACAGGCTGTCTCTCCTGCCTGCCTCTGTCTCATAGCCCTCCATCTGGCCGAGGCTCCCTGTGTGCATGTGTTAAACACTTTGCAAAAGGGCAAAAAAGCAGTCCTTGTTCCCGGGCGTTTACAGCTGGAGCAAGAACTGCCATCTGCCCCGGGCGCAATTTGCATTGGCGTTGGCTGCAAAGCCCTGATGAGCCCTGAGAGCTGTTTTTTCCCCTCTTTCCTCCTCGTTTGTGACCCTGCTGCTCTGCCAGCGTTCTCTTGTTCTTCTGTTCCCAGGCCTGAGCCGGCAGGGAGTGTGCCTGGTGCTGGAACTGGCTGCTAGCACCATAAGAGAGCCTTCACTGGGTGACTGTGATGGTCGTGCTTGGGGCTTCCAACATGGTGCATGATCCATGTGACAGTGTGTGTGCAGGGAGGGGAAGAAGTGAGAGGCAGGGCTAGATCTGACCTTTGTTGGACATTTTGCCATGAGGTTTTGTCACTTTCATTCAGATCCTGCGTGTCTGGGATAAACATATGTTGTATGATGAGTTTTCCTTTTGACCTTGGAAGGTTCTTGGGGACTACACCAGGCCTCCTACTGCCACCTCCAGCAGAGACCCGAGCAGCTACATCTTTGCTCACCAGTGCCTGATCTCTGCTGCTCAGAAATCTCTTTGCAGGGAGCTGAGCTTCTGCGTTTGGTTCACGTCTTGCAGGGAAGGAATGTGCTGCAATTAGTGGAAGTCATGGGGTGGAGGAATATGTTTAGAGCCCAGAGGAGGCAAACTTTTGGTCTCCTTGCATTTCTGGCAGATGACTGAGTGCAAGTGATTTCCTCTGAAATGTGGTTGGATGGTGCCTGGTTTTCTGTTTCATGTGTTGTTGTTTCCCTTTCCTCGTGTGATACTTGCAAAGCACAGAAAGTGCCCAAACCCCATGACATTACTGTTCAGTTTAGAGTATAAACGGCTGCT